GGTTGAGTTGTCTGTAGCGATCTTCACTGACGAGTGGTGTAGACGATCTAGCCAAGCTGTTAATGCTAGATATATCGCTCTCATTTCTAGACAATTGATGTGCAACTCTTTCTCTTGGGAGGACCATTTCCCTTGAATGGTGACATCGTCCATATGGGCACCCCAACCCTCTCCTGATGCATCTGTGTAGAGTTGATGTAGGGGGGTGGGGTAGTTTAGTGGAATACCTGGCATGACATTTTGACAATTTAGCCACCAAAGGAGTTCTGAGATTCGAACTTGTGGGGGTTGGATTAGTGCTTCCAGCTCTAGGTTCTTGGTGGTGTTCATCCAAATCTGCAAAGACCGTAATTGTAGCCTGCCTCTGTAGGTTAGGTCTTGGATAGAGGTAAGCGTGCCTAGGCAAGACATCCACCACCTTCTCGACTTGACGGGCTGATCGAGTGCGCTTGTAATCATGTGCTGTACTCTTGCATATCTGTCCTCTGGGGGTGCGACTATGCCCTTGTCGAGAATAAAACTTGCGCCTATGTAGGTGATGGCCTGTGTGGGTACTAACTCTGATTTTTGAGAGTGAACCAGGAAACCTAAGTGTGTGAGAAGTTGGATGAGACACACTGTGTTTAGACTGAGTTGTGATTTGTCCTGATCGACCGATAGGAAATTGTCTATATATCCGTGAAGCCTTATGAGCTTTAGATGGGCGAAGCCAATGACGGGATTGGTGATCCTGGTGAATAACCATGGGGCGATGGATATGCCGAATGGTAGTACCCTGAACTGGTATCTCTGACCGTTGACAGCGAATCGTAGGTATCTACGATGACTTGGATGGATGGGGACGTGAAGATATGCATCTTGGAGATCTATGCTTATCATCCAATCTGCTTATCTTAGGGAATTCTTCAACTTCTTTATAGATTCCATCTGAAATGTGGGTGGTTTTTCCTGGTAATCTTTGTTCAGAGTTTTTAGGTCTATTATTAATCTCATCTCTGAAGAATTCTTCTTCGGTACCAGGAAAACTGGGGAGTAGAATCCGAGGGTGGTGTCTGACTCCTTTAGGGTGCTGATAGCGCCTTTTGTGAGTAATTTTTGTATGGCTATTTCTGCTGCGATTAGCTTTGGTCCTGATAGCTGGAATCGGGGTCCGGTAGGATGAATGACTAGTTTTGGTTGTTTTAAGAAGTGAAGTTTGTAGCCTCTTCTTATTACTTCGAGTAACCATTAGTCGTCTGTGATGGTCTCCCAGTTGTCTATGACTGCATAAGACGGCCCCCGACAGGTCCCTGAAGAGGATGAGATTTGAACTTGGGAAGTCTTGGGTCGATGTTTGTAAGATTGGCTAGTTCGACTGGATTTGGAGTAGACGTGTCCTTGGTCTTCCGTAATGCTAAATCGTTGTCCGTAGGGCAGGCAAAGTCCGTAGGATCTGGATGGGTCTGTAGATTTATGGTGAAGTCATCTCCGGAGGGGGCCCCTACGGGAACTGCCTCTTCCTCTGCCAAGTCCTCTCTGTGAAGTGGGAAAATCAACTTTGGAGCTCTTGTACCTGGGTTGATACGTTCTGTTTATCTGTGTAGAGGCTCGAAAAGAATCCCGGTTGGACTGTTCACGTCGGGGTCCAGGACTCCGTCGCTGGGGTCGAGTAACCGCCGGTTGTCTCTGTAACTTGGATGCTAATGAGATGGTGGATTCCTGAAATTTCTGGTTAGTTGACGAGATAATGGCTTCCTTCACTGACTTCAGTCTACCGTTGAAAACCTGCGATGACGTAATGGGCTGTGACATCATCTGGCGTCACATGATGAACTTGCTGTAGTAAGTGTCTTCTTAATTGCATGAGCAGAAACTGCGATGACATCCATACTTGAGCTGATAGGAGGTCTTCCTGCATCTTCAGTAAGTGGTCTAATGAGCTGTGGATAAATCCCGTCTTCTGACTAGTCATCTCCGTGGAAGTGTCAAAGGGAAGATCTTCGCTGGTTGCATGGGGGCATGACATGGCGAATACCAGCTGCTAACCAGATGATGTAAGAACTGGTATTAATCATTTGTCTATTGACATTATCTAAGCTCTTGATCTTGGACATATCAATGCGCATATTGGGGTTAGGTTTCTTAACCAGATCGAAGTAATCTTCATCAATGCTAGGCTGTAGTGTGAACGGATCATCATGTGTTTTGTAAGCAGATCTAATATAGATAGGCCTCAGTTTAGCACTAGGACCCGCTGAACAATTCAATTGATTTTCAGTTCTTTTGATGACGTCATCCAAATATGACGGAGGGGGAAGCGTGTGGAATGGTTCGGTCCCCTTATCGGGTCCCTCATATCCTGCACGTTCAATCAAGGGTTTAACGGGTGTACTGTCCTGATCTGGTTTTAAGGTGGGCATTAGTTCATAAAGTTCTGCTATGATGTCTCTAAGGGAGTAATTGTTTGATCTATAATCCTCCTCTATAGCAGTGTCCCCATAGCCTGAATACTCAGGTGTAGATCGGCACCCCCTACTCTGGCTGTGCTGTGAGTGGGTCGTATGGCTGAGGGTATCCTAATCCCAGTCGTCTGATTTACGACAAGCTGTGCGGGAATCACGTGATCTATAACTGTATGTTGATGTCATATTTCCCTCGCTTTCTTCGTCCGTATAACAGGACTGTGTGGCAGTATGAGAGGGTGCACGCTTAGGATTACTATCCTGATATGCACGAGCTTTGTCGGTGCGTCTATCATAGTGGCTTGACGGTGATTGGTGCGTATTTCTGTGCATACTTCGGTGTGAAGACCGTAATTCACGATGAGCCCTATGGTATGCGTGGTAGGGAGAAGATCTATGAGATTCTCGGTCTCTTAGTATAATTCTCCTACTGTCCTCATAGTCTGATTCAGCGTAACCTTGTACATGTCTGCTGTATGAGGGTGTACTGCCATATTCAGCCTTAGATCTCTGTTTACTCTCGTGATCAATCCCTGATTGGCCAGGCCGAGTTTGATTAACTGATTCTTTTAGATCTGAGATTTCTCGAGACATAGATTGCATGCGTGTGTCAATCATAACAGACATAGAATTTGTTATTCTTTCCGTGAACTCATTTACGTTAAAGGGGGAACGCGGCAGAGGGTGAAAATTGTTAGTTTCTGTCCAAACTCGATGATCGACCGTACCAGACGTTGCCGGATGCAAGTTAGAGGTACTTTCTGATTGACCGGTAAAATGCATCTGCTCCTCAACATTATAGGGAGAGTGGGATGAGCGATGGGGTCTCTTCTCCTCATAAGGTGAGACTTGCTTGTCACCCGCGTGATTAAGTTTTGCCGCCACGGGCTTAATCACTTGTTTTCTTGATGTAGATGCTCTAGTGACCTTTTAATAATCGGGATTTTTTATCCATGCCTCCGAGAGCTTGTCAAATTTTTCTTTTGACAGATGCTCGCAATAACTGCACCTTGACTTCTGTGTACAGCTGCTTTTCTTGCATGCGAGACATCTAGGCTGAGGATCCCCAGGAGCTTGGTGTTGTCCACAGCCCGAACAGACAGGTGTCTGCTTATGAGATGAAGATCTCATCCCACAACTTTTCTTAACTAATTACTTATTAGAGACTCCGATCTTCTATACCCCCGTTCTGCTTGTAGAACTGCTCTTTGCTTGTATCTATGAAGCTTGAGACGGATCTATCTAGTATGTGGAACTCAATCACGTGTTCGGATGTGCATCAGGACACACAGGAAAGAAGTGACTAGATTCCCGCATTGCGCATGGGCAGTGGCGCCTCTGGCAAGGGATAGGGTTTTCCTCACAACTATGGATATGTTGGCAGTGTAGTGGACGTCTGTTGAAAATTTATAAAAATTTATAGTTTGGTTCTCAGCATAAACAGGAATTTATGGCACTGATGTGATAGAGGTGAGGTATTCACAAGAATTTTTGTAGATCAGGCTGATAGTCGCGATATCTGTCACTCGGGTTGTAGTCACTGTGGGTCGCTGCCGCCATTATCTGTTGTGAGAGCTGTGCAGTGGGTGTAGTCAGTAAACATCGACGAAATCCAAATATTTTGGGCAGATCAGGGGTAGATAGTCTTCTGGGTGTATTTGCGATACTTATACTGTGTTTTTGGAGCAATTGCAGGGATACAAGGTTCTGATAACAAAAATTATTCAGGAGCGTTTTTCACACGGCTATACACTATCCGCCATCTTGTTTTGTATATGTTTTGAATCAAGAACACAAAACCTCAACCATCAAATCAGACAGCAAATCAGCCATCTCGGACCATATCAACAACTGTCCTAATCACAACATCAACTGTGACAACGTCCAACAACCTCTATGATTTCACTAAAAGAAAACTAACAGAAGCAGTCCACGTTCGCCGCCACAAGCCATCAGTCAACAGAGATCATGGCTACTTCATCCCATCCGCCTACTAACTCATTAAGCAATAATCACTTATCCTGTTTAATTGGCTTCCACCTATGTGTTCTCTGTCCATCGTGTTGTGACAGTATTATCCTTCTGTTGTAAACACTTACTCATGTTATCCCACTCATGTATGCAATTGTTGTTACTGTTAATCCTCCACCTACTATATATATTCTGTACAATGTCCCTCATCTAGTCTTGCTTGACAACGATATGAGGATCTATACCAAAACGTCACTTTTTACAGTATTAAAGAAGTTGTTATCCATAAATTGTGTCTACCTTGTCATCCGTCAACTTCTAAGTAATGCCTACAAAACAATTCAAATGTATAACTTCTTGTCACAATTTGGCTGAAATATTGCTGATGTGATGTTAAATTTGAACTCACTCACACACTCACTAAAGTTCAGATCATCTCTGGATAGTTGGTCATAGACAGAAAATTTCTCATGCTGAGCAATGATGATGGCAAGAGGTCTGATGTCAAGTGCAAGATAATGAAGAAAAGAAATGAAAGGAAATAATAACAAAGTAAACAAAACATCATAGAAGTGCACATCTACATACCTGTCCATGCAGCCTTAAATCCCTTTCTGTCATTAAAAGGACTCGTAGTAAACACAACACGGTAGTAGACAGCTGACTGGACAATGTAGCCCTTTCTGTCTCCATGTAGATAGGCAAGGAGGTTGTTGGAGGCATCATAAACCTGTAGTTTACAAATAGAGGTTTGAGTCCATTTTGCCTACATTCCTATTTGCCTACAAGGTAACTAACTGTAAGCAAAATCAGATTGAAAAACAGAACCCCACAAATTGAATTGAACATTAACATATTATGACTAATGCAACAAGAGGCCCATAGGGCCTGTATCGCTCACCTACATATTTACGCAATCATGACAAAATATACATTTGCATTGTACATGTATATAATACTGCAAATATTTTGTAATTTTGACTCAGCATTTAAAATGGGTGGATGGCAAATCTGACAGCATGAACATGCATTTCTCTTGGTACAAATGTAACATAAAGATCTGAACCGTTTCAATGTTATGATCCAGGATATATCATATTAAAGGTATAATTCTCTTTATAACAAACAAATGTATACAATGTATCTGTTTATTATAGGGTGGGGATAATATCAGTTTGCATGTTATGGTCAATGTTTTAACTCCTTCGGGAGTGCCGGACAAATGAACGGAAGGGCCAGTCCTGGTAGCATATGTGCATTCCTCTCATTATACTCTCAATTGTACATATGGTTACACAGTGCAGATCGTAACTGTGTCCAAGTTATAAACTCTTTATCCCCGCCCCTTAGTCCCTGGGGTTGGGGGTAGGGTTCAGCCCTTCCATTTTTCAAATTTGAATCACCTATTACCACCATTGGAGAATGCTTCCAACCAAATAGGGTTGATATCTTTCTCTTAGTTCCAGAGAAGAAGACGTTTAAAGCAATATGGCCAAAATACCCCTATTTGGCCCTGCCCCTCAGCCCCACCATTTGTACAATTTTGAATCCCCACCACCTAGGGATGCTTCCAATCAAATATGGTTGATATCTATCTCTTAGTTCCAGAGAAGAAGTCATTTAACCTTTTGGCCCCGACTGACCGATTTATCGGGCAGCATTAACCATGGCCCAGTACACGGCTGCCCGATAAATCGGGCAGCTACTGTCTAAGTCCCACACACGGCTGCCCGATAAATCTTATAGCAGCTGTGGTTCAATGTTCAGGTAATGTGATAAATTACTATTTAATAACTTAAATACTTAATTTTTGTTTCAAATCCTGAAAAAGAACAAAATAAATCTGATATTTGTGTTTTTACATGTGTTAACGAGTTTACCTAAGAGGCTGAAAGTGTATCATAAGTAATATGTGACATCAGTATAGAAAACAAAGTCAGTACCAAGAGTTGTAAACTTGTTTATTTGTTTACAGATCTGCATGAAGAGAATTTACCTGTAACACCTGGGATTACCTGTGCCGTCCAAGATGACAAGACCACAGTGTTATGTTAACCTTGTATCTGTGATTTATTTTTGTGATTTTAAATACAATTTGCGCCAAAATTCATTGTCTGTATTCATTTTTTTAGTGTTTTCAAGTTTTATTTCACTTGTAAACACCTGTAATTAGAAAATAACAAAGGTTAGAGACAATAACAACAAAGAATATTACAGTATACTTAATCCTCTTTACAATGGTATATGATAAATGTATATTAAAAGCAAGTTTCTGGTAGAAAAAGTGCATCAAAAATGATAGTGTGATTTTCCAATAATACTGCCAGGGAGGCCAGTGTGCAGGCCTTGTCAGTGTCAGGGCCTGCAGTGTTTCAAGGGACATAACTCTGGGGCAGCCAGGGATGAAAGAGTAAAAGCTCTGGAAGGCTAACGTCGAACCCATTCGACAGAGGTGTCCATTCCCATGCATCTAATGTTGAACCCATTAGACAGGCGAATAGCATAACGACACCCCATAATAAAACTCGCCATATCTATTTACCAAGAAGGCTTTGCGTGACATTTAAATTACGTATGACATGCATAAATGCTCAGCTTGCTCAATATCAAAACGTTCAGTCATTTATTTACCTCAAAAAGAAAATATCACGAGTTAAAAAAGTTTCGGCCAAACTTCTCGGCACACAACTACCAGAAACGGCCATTGTTGACTTTTGGCACTTCACGTTGAGCGGCATGCAGTCCGATATTTTCTTTATAATTTCATCATTTTTCCTATTCGATCATAATTTTTTGTTTGCTGACGAAAGGAAAACACTCATGTTCCTTTATTTCTAAAAATTAGCAAATTTCGGTGTAACTAATTGTAAACAAAAACAATCTGAATAGTAACATCATCGATTGGATGGACCTTGTATGATCATGGCAACGGCGGTAAACAAACAACTCCATATGCAGAGTTGTCCCGTTAGACTATTACAATCATGTTACATCTAACTTAATTTTCTAGAATTATTGACACGTATGTATAAATCTGTGTAAAAAGAATTTCATTTTTATAGAGTTTTCAAATGATTTTGTTTGATAAACTTTCCGACACATTGACAAGCCGACAAACGTCAGTGATACATTTGGGCGTGGCCTAACTCGCGATTTGTTGAGTTGAACAAAGTCAACAAACACTGCGAAAAATGACAAATATTGGATGATACGCAAAATCTGAACTCATATACATTCTAGGTAAACCATTCAATAGCAAAATAATGCAGTTTACGAGAAATAATCAAAGTACTTGCAATTTTAGCTATCATTTCTGAAACCGGAAGCACGTACCGCATGTGACACATGGAAGCAAAATATGCAAAAGTTGGTAAGCTGTCATAAAGAAATTCCGAAATAGATTCAAATTCAATAGAAATTACATAATTTTTATTTTTCGTCCAACTATTTACTATTTATTGATCTGGAGAGCAGTCTTCACTCCTATTTGTTTCATATTTCTTCGTGATTGTCGCCATCAAATGTGTAAGTCTAAATCCGAAACCGTAATGAATTTCATGCTCGATGATTTTAATTTTAAAATATTTTCTGAAAACGAACGCAACGGAGAGCGATATAACGTGTTGATATGCCTTAATAATAACAACATAAAATTGTTATTGGTTTAACATTACAAAAAGAACAATTTAAAATATTAAAGATGTTGTTGAAAACTTTCTGAGAACCTCCCGTCCTCTGAACCGATAAAATTTTGGTACACGACGAGGTAGTGTAAATATATATAGATTCTAGGCTCCTATATATCCCCAAAATACTTTGTGAATTTGTACCTAAGAAAATAAGACAATAGATCTATAATTATATTTATGTTTTCATGTAGATGAACAGGACCCGGTTGTATCAAACTTTAATGATGCATTAACGTGTCATTAAACCTTCATTAACTAATGCATCATTAAATCCAGTTGTACTAAGGTTTTAATGACGTCGTGGTGTCATTAGCGCGTCATTAACTTAATGAAGGTTCTGGGGCATCATTAGCGTGTCATTAAAAACAAACATGGCCGCGAACATATTGTTTGAACGCTTAGGACGCACAAGGAAAGACCGTGTTTTCAGAAAACGAACTCAACACCTCGAATCCATGAGCGATGAAGAAGTAAGGGCACGCTACCGTTTTGGGAAGGCAAGCATCAGATATATCTGCGATCTTGTGAGAGATGAATTACAGCCCAAATCTGCAAGATCGCACGCACTTAGTGTTGAACTACAGATAAATGTCGTCACTAGAAACTCAGCTAGTTTGAAATAAACATATTATTATAGCGCCAAATTTATAGCGGCAATCTTTACAATGAATGAAACGCACTTCTACGTGGGTCAGCTCACTGGTCTGTGCTGGTAAAGTCTTATGTGCAGCCTAATGATACCAACCTTGTAAATATATTTCACAACTGAAAGTAATGTAAATTCATGGATCCCTTTCACTTCACTCCAGAAAGATATGTTTTCAACTTGGCGTTGTCAGCCATGATCAATTTCATAAGGGGGAGTTACTCTAATGACTTAAACTAAATGTGTCGTGCACACTGAAGAGAACAGTTTTGCGTGTTCGATTCCGGCCAAAAGAACCTTTTAATTAATTAAAGCATGCACATCTTATATCAATAATTAACACTTTACTTAGTGAGACATAATGAAAACGCAGCCAAATAAATAACAAAGTGGATATAAGTATTATGGAAATATTTGAAAATTTGTCAAACCTATCATTAGCCTCTTTATAATCATTTTATCAGGTTCTAGTAGCCCTACGTTTCTTTGCAAGTGGAAGTTTCCTGCAAATCACTGGCGACACAATAGGGATAGACAAATCAACAGCCTCACGAGTTGTGAGGAAAGTTTCCCTTGCCATTGCGTCTCTTGTGCCCAAGTTTGTTACCTGGCCGTCCGACAGGGATATAGGCGACATTAGAAAGGAATTCTACAATATATCTCGATTTCCTGGAGTCTTCGGATGTATCGATGGGACACATGTACGGATACAGGCACCATCAGACAGCGAACCTGCCTTTGTCAATAGTGTGTGTTAAATAATTTTTTATAATAACAAATCAAATGTCACTGTTAAACCTGTGCATGGAGCATACACGTCCTCCCTTCAAAGTCACAAGGACAATACGTTTACGACCCTGACACCATTCACGTTGTTAAACGAAATAGCTATCAGACAAATCTTTATAGTATGATATGATTTCAGCATTTGTTGTTTAACGCCGCGATCAACAATGTTTCAGCTATATTGCAGTGGCTGCATTATGAACCAAGTTCGATGGTAATATTGACTTGTATTAACATTGAACACATTTGTCTCGTTCTGTAGGTAAATTTTTTATTTCTTTTGTTGTACGCTGACAAACACCGAGAGCGTTAACTTTGGAAGTTATCTCTGCCCAAATAGCCTTCTTTCTTTCGTGGGTGACGGTGCTACACAACTTACTGTTAAGTATGGAGATGTGTTTCTCCACCAACTCGGCAATAAGCTGAATTTCGGAGCTGTCGAAATTCTTGTTTCTATTCCTAGGTTTTAGGTGGATACGATGCCATTTTGACGGACGACCGGAAGTAACGCGTACGTGTTTACGTCAAGGAATTGTGGGAAGTATTTAGGGGAAACACCGAATTTAATGACAGGTTAATGAAGGCACTTACATTAAGGCATCATTAGATAATAATATGCTAATAAACGTTTGATACAACCGATTTTAATGATGCCATTAATTAATGGTGCATTAAGCATTTAATGTATCATTAGGGTTTAATGTAGCCATTAGTTAATGAGGCTTTCATACAACCGGGTCCAGAACACATAATAAAATATTTCATCAAGTTCCAAATATGATTATGACTGTGATCCTTGAAATTGATTGTTTAGTTTTGAGAGAAAATTGACTTCTTGTCACTGAAGAAGAGGCCATTAAGTTGGTGAAACCTAAGTTAGAATGTATTGTTTTGATGGGAAAGTGATATTATGTTAAGTTTAAGACACCAAATTAATGTATATCTTTGAAATAATTCTAGGTAGATCTACAAAATCACATACCCATTTGGGTAACAAATCACTAGAAATTTTGGGTACAAAAGTCATGATTCCTTTTCTCATTTTTTAAGACAAGAATTTGTTTTACATAACAAAACAGGCAGATCTACACAGATCAGGTTTAGTCCTAAAATGTGAAAAATATGGACACCTCAGAAATGAGGGCTTATGCCGTATATGACCGCGTATAAGCCGAATTTTGAGGACCAGAAAAAAGATTCTGTAGAAAGGGGTCGGCTTATCCACGGGATACACTTTCATGATAGTATTTTTCAGATCGTGATCTGTCAGAAACATCGCCTGAATGACGGTCCGATAGATTACAACTTCCCGAAAGTTTGGAAGTTGCCACGACTAGAGCCATTATTGTTATAAATTATCAATAAAGTTATTATTATACACCAATGTTGTCATTATTAAAAAAATGTTATGCATGTTACTACTTCTGATAATAAGTTTTCAATTGAATGTTCAAAGTTTATCGTTCTTCGTAAACTCCACAATCTTTACATGTAACAATATATGTAATTCACAGCTATAATATATAATCCCCAGATAAAATCGCCAACAGCTATTACGTACGTTTTGCAAAGTTCATAAATTGATAGTGAACAAGTGTCTACCTTTATTGAAAGAGGCAAATAAGCTTCATATTCAGCAACGCGGGGATGTTATTTTGAAACACGTTTTGTCAAGTCCATTTTTGCGCACCTGTTGTTGAGGGTGATCTTGCTGATCGACGATATCCATAGACGTATTACGTGGGATACAATTGTTGTAGTGAAACTTATCAGCGTGTACATCGCAGAAATATGAATCATGTCCCATTTATATTCACCGTAACATTGAATGGTGATTCTTAAATATCAACAGAAGTTCAAATAAAAGAAACCGAGAAACTTGCATGTGGCATGTTGATTTATCGTCTACCATTTCCGGGTCACAGGAGCATGCAAGGTCAAACGGATTAACTAATACGCGAATTCAGTGTCCAACCCAGAATTGAAAATCAAGGGGGGACTTGTCCCCCCATTATGTAGAAAATAGGGGGGATTTTGAAAAAGTAGGGGGGAATAACTGCTTTCTTCAAAAATGTCTTATTTTGTATTATGTACTGGAACATCATCATATAAAAGTGTAACAGATCAGAATAAAGAACTGAAATGAATAACAATGCTTTGTGATTTTTTCTATCAGTAGTAATTACAGTGACTGTGGTTTCATCATTGTCTTTTTTAGAACATCTATTTTGATTAAAAAATCCTGTAATTTATTTGTTTTTGCGCGACATTTTCACTATTCAAAAGATTGTCTGCAATGACAGTCTGCGATTCATATTGTGTGATTTCAGAAACGAAACTAAAACGAACTAAAATGCTCAAAAATATTTTCAGAACTATTCAAGATAGAATATTTATTGTCTTTTGACAAGGTTTTTGATTACTAAACAACAAAATACAACATAATTTTGATCAAAGTTTTGATACCCTGTCTACTAAAGCAAATTAAATTTTGTTTCCTATGCAAATCCTGTCGATAATTTATTCAGCAACCCAAGGGACGTAACTCGTGTTTGAACTTCCGGTTATATAGATCAGTCTTCGACAGTTTACAGTTTTTGCTGTGAACTGTCTTTCTTCGTTAATTGATTAAAGATTTAGTGAGTATTGAATCTAAAGGTAGGGATAAACAGCTGATAAAGTAAGTGACTGTACAAGAAATTACTGTGCGCGACAGATCGCGCTTTGAAGTTTTTTTTAGCGTGAATCGCGCAAACGCGCGGTCTGGGTTGGACGCTGGAATTATATCGTCAAAGTCACATTTTTATTTCATTTTAGTGGTGATACACTGATACTGTGTATCGACTTATGTTTTTGCTGTATGTGATAGGCGAACTATTTCAAAATTTACAGTAATTGTTTTGTTTCGAAAGATTATCAGCAGACTACCCCTGTCTGTGACATCACATCCGGTGACCTTTGCACTTATTGAAATAGTGCTGTCAGAATTCACGATCTTTATTTTCGTTTTTCTCTCGTCACATTAATCGGAATATGATGAATAAAACATTCTTCAATTGAGAAGATCGTCAACTTTCGCCAAGTTATATTTATAAAGGCAATGTAAACTTTGTTGATATTAAAACAGAATTAAGTTATGCGGAGGTCGGGCGAAGCGCGCCATGTTTGATTTTAGGACGTCTGCTAGCATCATGACACGGGTTGTTTACTTTTGTATATCGTAAATATTCAACCAAAACGCTTGAAATTAGGATTAGTGAATATTCATGAGTCATTAATTGTTTCCTGCAAATTTTATAACATGACACGTCAGATTAACCCGAATATTCGTATTTCTGAAACCGACATGATGACCTCGAAATTTAAGTTATTTTTCTGTTTAACGTTTAGATAATAAATTTACTAAAATGGTTCATAATTTACCATCGCGCTGATATATGCCGATTATAAAACCCAAATTTTTACTCAATTAAAATTAAGATATCGGAGATATGATTATTGAAATCAATTTGCACAAATGTTACGATATTAAAAGGTTCCTAGCATGAAATGCAAACCACCTTCAATAACGCAATTCAGGTAAGTTCAAGAAAATTTACAAATTTTGTGTTCGCTTTGGTCTTATTTTGGTATGATTGAAAACACCAGAATATTTTTACGTAGTATTGTGTAGTTTTCTATCAGGAATAAATGTGCAAAATATTTCTTCAATTGGCCCTTGTTTAATGAGGCACTTACTGTTTGAAATCACCCACCCTCTTTAGTGCGCCTTATGCTAAAATTAATCCAGCAGGCAGGGGTAAGAAGTGTGAAAATAATTCAGCAGGCTAAAGGTTAAAGCAATATAGCCAAATTACTCCTATTTGGCCCCGCCCCTCAGCCCCACCATTTGTACAATTGTGAATCCTCACCACTGGAGAATGCCTCCAACCAAATATGGTTGATATCTATCTCTAATTCCAGAAAAGAAGCCGTTTGATCAATAACATGAAATTATTTATATTTGGACCTGCCCCCAGCCCCTTGGGGGCAGCCCCACCATTTGTACAATTCTGAATCCCCACCACCTAGGAATGCTTGAATATATCCTAGCATATTCAGCATTACATGAATGCTATTTTGAAACACATTTTGCAACGGGTATTTTCGTGCACATGTTGTGGGGGGGTGATCTCGTCTGCGAGCATCATGACATGGTATTTGTATTTTAGTATATCGTAAATATTCAACTAAAATACTTGAAATTAGGATTGGTGAATATTTAGGAGTCATTAATTGTTTCCTGCAAATTTTATAATGTGACACATTAGATTAATCCGAATGTTTGTATTTCTGCAACTGACATGATGACATCGAAAATTAAGGTTTTTTTCCTGTTTAACGTTTGAAAAATAAATTTACTAAATGGTTAATAATTTACCGTCGCGCTGTTATTCACCAATAAAAAACATTGAATTTATGCTCAGTTCAAATAAAGATATAGGAGATATTATAATTGCAATCAATTTGCACAACTTTAACGATTTAAAAAGGTTCCAACATGAAACATAAACCACCTTCAATAACATAATTCAGGCAAGTTCATGGTATGACTGAAAACATCAGGACATTTTTATATATATTCAACAACAAAATATTTTAGTGTATTTTTCAAACAAGTAAAGTTGGGTTTCCAATATTGTAGTACATGTATGGAATCAAGTAACAAAAACGCAACTGCTACAGAAAAGCATGCATTTCATGCAAAAGTTAACTTTTATGCAAGTCCCATGCATTTCACTACTCAAGAATGGGTATAAAAACATATGCGTTAATGGGATTCCATATGCATTGTTTAGCATCGTGCTGACA